CTCGCACAAAACTGAAATAAGCTACTATGAAAAAATTGTTTATTTCAAACAGAATATTATCCAATAATATCAAACACGCGTCATTCGTTTGATCTCCGACAGACGGCTTCTGCGCTTTTATTTTGAAGGCAGCAGCGTAATGAAAATTCTTTTGGTCGTTGGACCCTCACAGACTGAAGGAAGATAAATAATCAGGAACGCTTTCGGTCTGAACGAGCGCTTCACATGTAACAGGAGTTTTCATCTCTTGTTCTGGCAGGTTGCACCAGTAAATCTATGAGAACGAACGATTGAATTGTGGAGAATCTAACTGATCTAATGATGTGCAAACTGACACATTGATCATAAGTTCAACATTAATATTTGGATTAACGATCTGAGCAGCTTAGAAGCAGCTAAAGCGTCGACCCCGCGGGGTTTAAGAGGTTTTATATCCAGAGAGCTTCTATAAAAACCAGACCTGCGTTTATTAGTCATTACGTGTTTCCTCAGCAGGCGGCTGTTAAATGAAGTTTTACCGTATTGCAATACCTTAATGAGATTATTATTAACAAGTAAAAACAGATGAGGGGATTCTGTTTTAGTCTGTTTGTGCTTTGAGTCCACAACACGGAGTAAAAGCAGAGCAACACCTGCTGGAGAGGAGAGCGCTGTTACCTAATGAGCTCATCGCTTTCAGCCAATCAAATCAACACGTCGACACTGGCCGTGACGGCGAAGGTCAACGGCATCCGTCCTGTAGCTGCCTCTCTCCGGCAGCAGTTTTGTATATTCCCACCTGATACACACCTGTAGCTATTTGACCAGCTTCTGTTTATCTCCTGCACAAACTAACTTCTCTGACAGACAAACCGAACGCTGGATTCACATTTTATTTTGAGAAACTCCTCATGAGCGCGTCGTTTCTGCCACTGCTGGACGTTTAGCCAGTTGTTTGATTTGAGTTGATGTCAGGTCCTCTGGGGGTTTCAGATTTAGTTTTTGACTTAAAGTGAATATAGAAATGAAACTAAGCACTGAATCTGGCCTCTTGTGAGGCTTTAACAAAACGTCCTGTAAAACGTTTTCACTGCTACAATCATCGTTACATCCCTGTAAAATACTGCTTTATATTTAGAAAGGTACTTTTCTTTATATTTAGAAAGGTACATTTCTTTATATTTAGAAAGGTACATTTCTTTATATTTAGAAAGGTACATTTCTTTATATTTAGAAAGGTACTTTTCTTTATATTTCTACTTTCTGTTGTCATTTCCATCCCCAAACATCTCGACATGCTAAGTGAGTAATTGTAAAACATCATTTCCCCTCTGGGATCAACAAAGTGTTTCCAGGTGTCTCACCAGTAGGAGTTGATGATCTTGCAGAAAGCCAGCTCGCAGCACATCTTCAGGTTGCTCTGGTGCTCGGCCAGATCGCCGCCGGAGCAGCGGCTGGGATCCACCTCGCAGTTCTCGTCCGACTCGTACAGGGCTTTGATGAACTCACCTGGTCGCACAGACTCAACGGTTACTGACAGTCCCAGTGTTCTTCAGACAGATCTCACAACAATAATAAAACACGTGCAGAGGACTCGTGTTCCTGAACGCGGCGCAGGAAGTATCTATTTTCAGACGTGAGCCTATAAATATATTAGATTTGTGTTTTTTGAACTCTAAAGTTTCTGTTTTTCCTTCTAATAATAGTCTGAAAGTTTCTCGCCGCCGCCGCCGTGACGAGTCTGAGCTGTTGGTTTGTAACGACAGCAGGTCTCAGGGGTCTGACACAGTTCTGGATCTGTCAGAGCAGCTTCTGAACTATTTTAGGTCTTTTTGAATCCGAGACGTCTCAGATCACCTCGAGGAGGAGGAGGAGGAGGAGGCAGCAGAGTGAAGACATGATGTGCTCTGATTTTAGCACTCAGCTAAATAAGAATAATAAAAACAGTTCTAAAGGACTTTTCATCTGGTTGAGGCTCGACGCTGCTGACAGACTGAACGGTTTGAGATCCAGCTCAGGAGGAACTTCACCTGAAGCCACGTTTCTAACGAGAGGAGCGTTAGTGACAGGACAGACGTTCAGGTCAGCTGTTCCTGCTGAAAGTCCAGTTAGACCTTTGTATCAAAAAATGGAGATTCAACCTTTTAAAGAAGGAATATTATTCCAGCAGGAAGCAGAATGTTTTTCTTTTTCTGTGGCGGAGGGACTGAAATCTGCTGAGACGGCCCAATTTAACATCTTTCATACAAACACATCCAAATTTGTATTATTCCAACCTTCATTTAACCAGGAAAAGATTAAAAATCTCTTAGAAGATGCACCACAGGAGGCCGTCAGACTCTCCAACTCCTCGCTAGATAATTAGGAATTGTGCAATATTGTATTTTATTTCTGTATTTTATGTTTCTATAATTATTATTTCTGTTCTTTTTCTTTAATGTCTTGTTACGTGAGCAGCTGTAACAAAAAATTTCCCTCGTCCAGACAGACATAAGCAGATTTCACAGGTTCTAAGAGGTGCAGACGTAAAAAATCTGTTAGTTTATCATGACAATAAATAATAAATTACAGGATTGTAAAATCTAAAAAATATGTGTAAAAGCATCCGGTGAGAGCAGCTCAGAAACATTCAGTCATTTTACAACTGATTCTTTCAACTTGTTTGCTTTCAGCTCCAGAAACGTTCAGTCTTCAGGATGAACCGTCGGTGCTGAGGCGGTGAAATCAGCCTGAACATTATCGTCTGAGACGCTGAGCTCCATACGCGATATTAGGTTCACGAGAACGAGACGAAAAGGAAACGTTGATCTTTAAACGCTTCATTTCCTGAATTCTGGTGAAAGTTTCTGCACCAATTTGTGATGAAAAGGAAACACAAAATTCAGGCAGCAGGTGACATTTCAAACAGAATCTAAGTGAGTGCAGCTCTCAGATCTGTTTCTGCTGCAGATCAGCAGATCAGCTTTTCCTCGTGGAACATCCTCCCTGCTGAGGCAGGATTTATTGTCCCTCCTCTTTTGTCGTGTTCACAGGGAGAGAACGGAAAACTTGGCCAAAAACAAACTGTGACAAGTTGTTGTTGAAGTTGATCGGTGCTGCACGTCTTTGGGTCATTTTAGAATCACTAACTCGTTTTTTTAGGACAGGGCGCAGTTCTTTCTTCTATATTTCATTGCATTGCAGGTTTTCTTATTGTGCAAATAAACTTTCTAAAGGCTTTTTTTTTTAACTGCAAGCTACATTTCAGAACGTTTTTTAACAAATTATGCTTTAAAAAAGTGGCGAGGACAATAACACCTGTGGTTTCATGTGTATCAGTTTAAATCACGATGAAATCAGGACTTCATAAATTCATATTAATGAGAATTTAAAGTGTTTCTAAAACCTGCTCTTTATTTAAACCGAATAAAAACATCTGAAGAGTTCAAATTTAAAGATGCAACCAAAATGCAAGCTGGGCGGCAGGTTAAAGGTGTCATACAGGTGTGTTGGTGTGTCTGCAGGTGTGTTGGTGTGTTTGCAGGTGTGTTTGCAGGTGTGTTGGTGTGTTTGCAGGTGTGTCTGCAGGTGTGTTGGTGTGTTTGCAGGTGTGTTTGCAGGTGTGTTGGTGTGTCTGCAGGTGTGTTGGTGTGTTTGCAGGTGTGTTTGCAGGTGTGTTGGTGTGTCTGCAGGTGTGTTGGTGTGTTTGCAGGTGTGTTTGCAGGTGTGTTGGTGTGTTTGCAGGTGTGTTGGTGTGTCTGCAGGTGTGTTGGTGTGTTTGCAGGTGTGTTTGCAGGTTTGTTGGTGTGTTTGCAGGTGTGTTTGCAGGTGTGTTGGTGTGTTTGCAGGTGTGTTTGCAGGTGTGTTGGTGTGTTTGCAGGTGTGTTTGCAGGTGTGTTGGTGTGTTTGCAGGTGTGTTTGCAGGTGTGTTGGTGTGTTTGCAGGTGTGTTTGCAGGTATGTTGGTGTGTTTGCAGGTGTGTTTGCAGGTGTGTTGGTGTGTTTGCAGGTGTGTTGGTGTGTTTGCAGGTGTGTTTGCAGGTGTGTTGGTGTGTTTGCAGGTGTGTTTGCAGGTGTGTTGGTGTGTCTGCAGGTGTGTTGGTGTGTTTGCAGGTGTGTTGGTGTGTTTGCAGGTGTGTTTGCAGGTGTGTTGGTGTGTCTGCAGGTGTGTTTGCAGGTTTGTTGGTGTGTTTGCAGGTGTGTTTGCAGGTGTGTTGGTGTGTCTGCAGGTGTGTTGGTGTGTTTGCAGGTGTGTTTGCAGGTTTGTTGGTGTGTTTGCAGGTGTGTTTGCAGGTATGTTGGTGTGTTTGCAGGTGTGTTTGCAGGTTTGTTGGTGTGTTTGCAGGTGTGTTTGCAGGTGTGTTGGTGTGTCTGCAGGTGTGTTGGTGTGTTTGCAGGTGTGTTTGCAGGTTTGTTGGTGTGTTTGCAGGTGTGTTTGCAGGTGTGTTGGTGTGTCTGCAGGTGTGTTGGTGTGTCTGCAGGTGTGTTGGTGTGTTTGCAGGTTTGTTGGTGTGTTTGCAGGTGTGTTTGCAGGTGTGTTGGTGTGTTTGCAGGTGTGTTTGCAGGTGTGTTGGTGTGTTTGCAGGTGTGTTTGCAGGTGTGTTTGCAGGTATGTTGGTGTGTTTGCAGGTGTGTTGGTGTGTTTGCAGGTGTGTTGGTGTGTTTGCAGGTGTGTTTGCAGGTGTGTTTGCAGGTGTGTTGGTGTGTTTGCAGGTGTGTTTGCAGGTGTGTTGGTGTGTTTGCAGGTGTGTTTGCAGGTGTGTTTGCAGGTGTGTTTGCAGGTGTGTTGGTGTGTTTGCAGGTGTGTTGGTGTGTTTGCAGGTGTGTTGGTGTGTTTGCAGGTGTGTTTGCAGGTGTGTTTGCAGGTGTGTTGGTGTGTTTGCAGGTGTGTTTGCAGGTATGTTTGCAGGTGTGTTGGTGTGTTTGCAGGTGTGTTTGCAGGTATGTTGGTGTGTTTGCAGGTGTGTTGGTGTGTTTGCAGGTGTGTTTGCAGGTGTGTTTGCAGGTGTGTTTGCAGGTGTGTTTGCAGGTGTGTTTGCAGGTGTGTTTGCAGGTGTGTTGGTGTGTTTGCAGGTGTGTTTGCAGGTATGTTGGTGTGTTTGCAGGTGTGTTGGTGTGTTTGCAGGTATGTTGGTGTGTTTGCAGGTGTGTTGGTGTGTTTGCAGGTATGTTGGTGTGTTTGCAGGTGTGTTGGTGTGTTTGCAGGTGTGTTGGTGTGTTTGCAGGTATGTTGGTGTGTTTGCAGGTGTGTTGGTGTGTTTGCAGGTGTGTTGGTGTGTTTGCAGGTGTGTTGGTGTGTTTGCAGGTGTGTTTGCAGGTGTGTTGGTGTGTTTGCAGGTGTGTTTGCAGGTGTGTTGGTGTGTTTGCAGGTGTGTTTGCAGGTATGTTGGTGTGTTTGCAGGTGTGTTTGCAGGTGTGTTTGCAGGTGTGTTGGTGTGTTTGCAGGTGTGTTTGCAGGTATGTTGGTGTGTTTGCAGGTGTGTTTGCAGGTGTGTTTGCAGGTGTGTTGGTGTGTTTGCAGGTGTGTTTGCGTCTCACCGAGTGCGTCGTGCAGGTATTTCTGTCCCACCAGCTTCAGATATTCCTCGATGGCTTTGGTGGCGAGGGTGTTCTCCCTGAAGATCAGGACGTCGTGGTCGGCACAGCGATCCACCTCCGACATCACCAGGTCTGTCAGGAAGTCCTGCACCGGAGGAGGAGGAGGAGATTGTGAGCATGTGGGCAGCCATGTTGGAAAGCCGACTACAAGCCAGTTCTCCTCCAGACATTTTAACGAGCTGACCAAACCTCTGATGAGTAACTGTTCATCCAGCACCGAGTTTTATCCATTTATTGCAGCTGCTAATTATTTCATGTTCAAAATGGGATCTAAGGGGCTTTTATGGTTTGATGAATAATTGACAGACACCCGATGAGAGATTCATGTTTCCAGAGCTCTCTGCTGAGCTGCCTGGACCTTTATCAGCTCACCTTCCAGTAAAACCTGCTCAGCTGACGGTGACTCAGGTCTCGTCTGGACTTACGTTTTAAGCACTAAAATACTTTGTGAACGGCTGTTGGAGCAGAAAGTTAAGTCTTAAAGTTAGCACTGAATATTCTCAGCTGCTTCTCTGAACTCGGCCGGTCGGGAGCCACTCCCGGCTGTCCACATACTTTTGGCCATCAGGTGTAATCCTTAATCGCAGCTAAGTGACAACCTCCAGCTCTCAGGAGTGAAGCCGGAAGAGCCTTAAACCTGCGTCCCCTCTAGCAGCCAGCAGGGGGCGACTTAAACCTGCGTCCTCTCTAGCAGCCAGCAGGGGGCGACTTAAACCTGCGTCCTCTCTAGCAGCCAGCAGGGGGCGCCTTAAACCTGCGTCCTCTCTAGCAGCCAGCAGGGGGCGCCTTAAACCTGCGTTCTCTCCAGCGGCCAGCAGGGGGCGACTTAAACCTGCGTTCTCTCTAGCGGCCAGCAGGGGGCGCCTTAAACCTGCGTCCTCTCTAGCAGCCAGCAGGGGCGCCTTAAACCTGCGTCCTCTCTAGCAGCCAGCAGGGGGCGCCTTAAACCTGCGTCCTCTCTAGCAGCCAGCAGGGGGCGCCTTAAACCTGCGTCCTCTCTAGCGGCCAGCAGGGGGCGACTTAAACCTGCGTTCTCTCTAGCGGCCAGCAGGGGGCGCCTTAAACCTGCGTCCTCTCTAGCAGCCAGCAGGGGGCGACTTAAACCTGCGTCCTCTCTAGCAGCCAGCAGGGGGCGACTTAAACCTGCGTCCTCTCTAGCAGCCAGCAGGGGGCGACTTAAACCTGCGTCCTCTCTAGCGGCCAGCAGGGGGCGCCTTAAACCTGCGTCCTCTTTGGCAGCCAGCAGGGGGCGACTTAAACCTGCGTCCTCTCTAGCAGCCAGCAGGGGGCGCCTTAAACCTGCGTCCTCTTTGGCAGCCAGCAGGGGGCGACTTAAACCTGCGTCCTCTCCAGCAGCCAGCAGGGGGCGACTTAAACCTGCGTCCTCTCTAGCAGCCAGCAGGGGGCGACTTAAACCTGCGTCCTCTCTAGCAGCCAGCAGGGGGCGACTTAAACCTGCGTCCTCTCTAGCAGCCAGCAGGGGGCGACTTAAACCTGCGTCCTCTCTAGCAGCCAGCAGGGGGCGACTTAAACCTGCGTCCTCTCTAGCGGCCAGCAGGGGGCGCCTTAAACCTGCGTCCTCTCCAGCAGCCAGCAGGGGGCGACTTAAACCTGCGTCCTCTCTAGCGGCCAGCAGGGGGCGCCTTAAACCTGCGTCCTCTCCAGCAGCCAGCAGGGGGCGACTTAAACCTGCGTCCTCTCTAGCAGCCAGCAGGGGGCGACTTAAACCTGCGTCCTCTCTAGCAGCCAGCAGGGGGCGACTTAAACCTGCGTCCTCTCTTAAACCTGCGTCCTCTCTTAAACCTGCGTCCTCTTTAGCAGCCAGCAGGGGGCGCCTTAAACCTGCGTCCTCTCTTAAACCTGCGTCCTCTCTTAAACCTGCGTCCTCTTTAGCAGCCAGCAGGGGGCGCCTTAAACCTGCGTCCTCTTTAGCAGCCAGCAGGGGGCGCCTTAAACCTGCGTCCTCTCTTAAACCTGCGTCCTCTTTAGCAGCCAGCAGGGGGCGACTCCAGCGGGTCTCTGAGAAAATGTTTCTGCTTCTCAGCTGATTTATTCCCTCAGTAAACACTTTCCTGATGAGTTTCTGGTCTCAGTCTCTAGTTTCAAGTCTTCTTCAACACAGCATGATGTTCATTTAGTAAATTATGGTCCCATTTAGAGGAACAGAGACCAGGAAGCAGGGGAGGCTTTAGGGCGGGGCTACAAGGCGATTCATATCCGCTGCTCTGTGAACATTTAACCAGCTGAAAAAGCTGATCGGGAGTCGGCTGCTCATTTTTCGGGTAAGAACATTTTGTTTTAACCACTTGACGCCAACTGTCGCAAATTTGCATCACGCCTCTTCCTTTCAGACTGCAGCTGAGATAGCAAATGTTTTCCCCCAGTGCCTGTTTGTGCATATTCAATACATACCTGGGAACCTTTTGCAAGCGCTGGTTTCTCGTTTATGCCTGTTGTCGCTAATTTGCATCATACTGAATTTATTTTTTATTTTTTATTGTAAATAATTCAGGCATCAACAGGTCAAGCCCGTTTGTCGCTAGCCAAAATTAGCACCCCGGGGTAAAATCACAGTTAAGATGAATTAGCGATGCTAACCAAGCTAGCTAGCTCCACCATCTCGTCCAAACGAGGTCACATCTGGTGCCTGGTTGCAAAAAAATTAACATTAACACAAACTCGAGGCTTCAAAACTGCCAGGTCACGGCGACCGCGACCACGCCCACTTCTTTTATACATCTATGTTTGCGGCCCCTTTTCCATTAATTGAGTATTTAATTAAGCTCAGCACTTGTTGTTTAATTAAAATTTAAATGTTTAATTTAGTTAAAATGAAGGAAGAGTTCAGCTTGGGAAATCTTGTACGTTTATCTGGCTCCTTCCTCAGAGTTAGCTGAGATGATCGATCCCTCTCTCAGGTCTGGGCCAGATCAGCTGCTTCCCCCTGTTTCAGGTCTTTATGCTAAGCTAAGCTAACCTGCTGCAGCTTCATATTTCCTGTACAGGCGTGAGTGCGGCATCCAGCTGAACATCCGACTCCCTGAAAGAAAACTAATTCCCCGGCAGGGTTCTGATTGGTCGCTGAGTTCTGACCTTTGCCCTCCCGGTGCTCTGCAGGATGTGGACCAGGGCGCACGCCATCTCCTCCTTGTTCTTGACGCTGATGACGGGCTCCAGCACCGAGCACAGCATGGTGTAGTTGTTGGTGACGAACTCGGCGAACTCCTTGTACTGCTCCATGGGCAGGATGGAGATGGTCTGGAAGCGGGACTTGATGCGGATCGACGGCCCGCCTCCTTTGGCCTTGCTGGTGGTGGGCGTGCTGACCGGGTACCACTTCTCCACAAACTGCCGGCCCGTCACGCCCGACACCGGGATGTTGACCAGGCCCACGTAGTTGTTCTTGTCCTTCTTCTTCTTCTTGTCCACGTCGCGGTAGATGTGCACGGTGATGCTGTGCATGGCGGGCAGGCTGGAGAAGTCGAAGTACTCGCCCAGAACAGGCTGTCGTGGCGAGTCTTGCTGGTGGTCCGGGCGTACAGGACGTCGTCCAGGCAGAGCTCGCAGAAATACTTCTTCTTCGGCGGCAGGTCTTTGGCTTCGATGATCCACAGACGCAGCAGGTTCTCCGCCCGCCGACAGTTGTCCTGGAAACACAAACACCCCCGGTTAAAACATCTAAAACCGCTTCACTGGTTTTAAAAAGAAAGACCTCAACAAGCTGGTCTGACTTCTTGATTCATCACCTCAAATCTACATGGGTGCTATTTCCTGTATTTAAATACATGTTTATCTTAAAGGAAAACTTGTTTATTCGACCGAGACCATTTCTGTGAGACTAACTGGGAGGACTTGTTTTGAAACTGGTCCAGCACGCCGTGGAACAGGGCTGCAACTATTCCGGCACCTCGCCTGATATTTTCACTTCTAACTCGGTGAATTAAGGGTTCACGCTTCAACCAAACCAGAGCTGGTGAATTTAAAGGTGTCGTAAAGAATGTGGCGACGGCGGCATGTGGTCGCGTTGTGTTTGAATAGCTGTTGGACATGTTGAATTTTAGCATGTTGTGTTTGTGTGTGGCTGCTACCTAAAACATTTACATTTATTCACTTATTCATTTAGCTGACGCTTTTATCCAAAGTGACTTACAGTTGTTATACATGTCAGAGGTCAGACGCCTCTGGAGCAACGATAATAACAATCTGAGCCTGTCAGCGGCAGAAACGAGCTCTTCAGTGGACGCCCAGAGGGTCAGTCACACAGAAACACGTCCAGGTTCAAAAGTAATTAAGTTTTTAACGTTTACAACTGGGGCCACGTGTTGCGAGTCAGAGTCAGAGCAGGAGGGTCGTGCGAACCGTCTGCAGCTCTGGATGCCCGCCGCGGCCAAACCTGAGACTCTTTTTCCACCTAAATACTAACAAGGCCCGTCGCAGCGTGCGCACGGACGCCAAAGGACGCCAAACAACAGGTCACGGAAGCAAAGGCAGTCTCACCTTGTTGGGCTGAATGGTCCTCCTCAGGTTTTCCATCCACTTGTCTCTCTCTGAGGCCGAAGTGCAGCTGAAACATTGCTGCCGCCCGAGTACGTCACCTGGCAGGTGAGAGAGAGAGAGAGAGAGAGAGAGAGAGTTACAGTAACCAGAGGGAGGCGGCTCAGAGTCAGTAAGAAGTGAACTGTAAAGTCAGATTTTAACAGACTGCAGCTGATGTGTTCAGGTATCAGTGTGTGTGTGTGTGTGTGTGGGGGGGGGGGGGGGGGGGGGGGGGGGGGGGGGTAAATCCTTGTGTCTGATTGGCTGAGGGACTTGACAAAGCGTCTCGCCTCCTCCCCCCCGTGTGTCGGGTAATTCTCGTCACCTCGAAGCAGAACTCCTGTCCCAGGATGCTGCTGTGCAGAGGCTTGATGAACACGTCCTCCTCCATGCTCAGGTCCAGAGCCTCCACCGCGCTGCCCGGGCTCAGCAAAGACTCATGGGAGGTCGACTCCTTCAGCTTGGGGAGCCCGCGAGATCTGCGAGACAAGAGGAACATTTAAATAGAAATCAATTCTAAAAAAGCCGGTTTAGGTTTCAGCTGAAGTTCTTTATGACCGCCAGGAGGGCGCCGCTGAGCACAACAGGTGCACAGATCCCACGCCACGAGATTGAGCGAACGTCCTCTGGGTGTTGGCGGTCGTCACCACGCCTCCTGCTGTCAACAGTGAAGCAGGAGAGCAGTAATACCTACGAAAAACACCACAGAGCCAGCTGAGGGGCGTTCCCCCGAGCATCCCCCCTGCTCCCACCGTCCTCCGCCTCGACCCTCCAGCAGGCAAATGGGAGCAGCGTTCACCACGAGCAGAGAGCGTCGCCCTTATGAAGCGTCCCTGCAGCCGGTAAACAAGGTCCTGGGACGGGCCAATCGCACGGGGCCTCTGGGAGCGTTTCCAAAACAACAACGTCTTCCGGGAGAGCCGGCGCTAGGCAGCAGGGAGTGACGCAGCGAGGAGGCGTTTAATTACAGACCTCAGAGGGCAGAGGGGCCATGAACACACCGCAGCTTTATCAGCAGGAGAAGAAGAACGAGGACTTTCAAAATAAAGCAGCTGAAAAGCAGAACTCAGCTGATAAAATGCAGGTTTTAGTTTAGTTGCGTCTCTGAATAGACTCCCTCTCTGCATCTTTCTTTTCTTTATTTAAAATGCTCCCACAACTAACAAGCTCAATGTTTTTAACCAGTTAATGAAGTCAAATACTGCAGGAAGTCAGAATGGAAACAGCAGAGAGTTTCAACATCTTCTGCCTTTAGCTGAACGTTTAAGGTGCTGCAGGATCAATTAATGCAGCTGTATTAGGAAAACTGTGTATTTGTGCTTCCTCTGAGTACTCGTTGTTCATAATACCTGTGTACTTTTACCTCAGTAATATCTTGGATGCAGGACTTTCACAGTATCTTTACACACAGGATCTGAACCCGTGTTCCCCGACTGGATCACGTGATGGTTAGAAACGCTTCAGCTTTTCAGGAGATCACTTTTTAATCCACTCCGAGTGTGTGTGTGTGTGTGTGTGTGTGTGTGTGTGTGTGTGTGTGTCTGTGTGTGTGTGTGTCTGTGTGTGTGTGTGTGTGTGTCTGTGTGTGTGTGTGTAATCCCCCTGCTGTGTCAGATGAGTTACGTAAACCTGGATTAGCGTGTTGAGATCAACATCAGATCTCATGGTGAATTTAAAATCTCTCATTCATGTATCGTTTCGTTTCTCTGCCCACCGCTGAAAATCAAACCACATGATTGGACGTTTCTGTCACATGATATTCCATCTGTAAGTGTGAATACAACTGCAGGGAACCGAATGTCCGAGACCCGGGGCCTCGTTAAGACCGGGGGCCTCGTTAAGACCCGTGCGTTTGGGTTCCTAACTTCCTGCATGTCTCAGCTCCTGACTGACCTGCAGTGAGCGTTTTAAAGTCCATCAAAGTGTCTCTGATCTGCCAGCAGCTGCTGCGCAGACCTAACGTCACCTCATGTGTTACGTCAACAAAGCGTGAAGAAGAGAGTCCTTCTGGTCCTGGGCCGTGGCGGACCGCAGCAGACGCTCCAAAGTTCGTCTTAACTTCACTAACAAACTGCAGCAGCTGCAGTCAGGAGGTTCGGTGCGAGGATGGAAGCAAACTTCACCGTGTTCAACGTGTCGCGCTCTCCCAGATCCAGCTAACGCCAACAGCAGCAACGCCTCAGGTACAGAACACAGGTGAGCCGACGTTCAGCTTTTACACTGGAGGGAAACCGACGATGGCTGCAGAGGAGACGAGTCCCAGAGACGCCGCTCTAGGACAGAGACTCTTTAAAGACATGCAGGGGACGAGGAGCGAGGAGATCTGTGGTGAAGGAACCAGAACCGATGAAACTGAAACGATACCAAACCTGGACTTTGGGTTTGTACAATGTGGGCTTTTTGTTCTTTACCCTCTCTGGTAAAAGGACATTTTACTCCCAGAATTCATAGCTGAGATCAGAGTCCAGGATGGGAAACATTCATCTTTCGCCCTCTGACACATCTTTATAAATCAAACTGACCTAACTTCATTGAGCTCGTTTCTTCTGAAATCCTGTCAAGGTTTTAAAATGACTCAAAGGAAGCGACGTGAGCTGAAACGGACTTCAGCAGCAGATGGAAAGTCTGTGTGAGGAAGTGAAAACAAGCACAACGTCTGAAGCAGGTACAGCAGGAGAGCTTCAGTTTACGTCCAGCTTCTGCTGGCGTCTTTATAACAGGAAGTGTTTCTGCTGGTACCTTCTTTCAGCTGGACTCTGAGCTCACGTTACCTTAAATAAAGATGACTCCAGGCGGCGAGCTCTGCAGATTTCTATCTTCAGTAGTGTAAAGCTGAGGTCGGTGAGGGAGAGAAAAAGCTGCATCTGTGCTTCTTTATTCCAAATGAGTGTTTTTAATCACTCTGTGTTAAAAAGGGGGGCTTGTTCAAACACGTCTGGTCACGTGACCTGAAGCTGCAACGCTCCATTAACTAAACACAGTCAGCAGTCTGTGTGTGATCAGGCCAAGCAGGGACCTCCGGGTCTGAAAGTGAAGCTCCTTAAACCTGCGTCCTCTCCAGCAGCCAGCAGGGGGCGACTCCAGCGGCTCTCTGAGAAAATGTTTCTGCTTCTCAGCTGATTTATTCCCTCAGTAAACTCTTTCCTGATGAGTTTATGGTCTCAGTCTCTAGTTTCAAGTCTTCTTCAACACAGCATGATGTTCATTTAGTAAATTATGGTCCCATTTAGAGGAACAGAGACCAGGAAGCAGGGGAGGCTTTAGGGCGGGGCTACAAGGCGACTCATTTCCGCTGCTCTGTGAACATTAACCAGCTGAAAAAGCTGATCGGGAGTCGGCTGCTCATTTTTCAGTAAGTTTGTCGCTAGCTAAAATTAGCATCCCAGCTAATATTACAGATACATCTTGCTAACCACGCTAGCTAGCTCCACGCTCTCGTCCAAATATGGTCACGTCTGGTGTCAAAAAAAACAAAAACAACAAGATGGCGACTGGAGGCTTTAAAACGGTAGTCCACAAACCAACGGGGGACATCACGGCGGCTACACCCACTTCTTTAATAGCGTCTGTCGTTCAGAGCAGGAAAATATTCTGACAGAGTTTCAGGAAGGCCGGTCCGCTGCATTAAGAGGAAACCTGATCCGCTGTGCTGTCAGAGGAAGAGGAGGAGGAGGAGGAAGCACTTACTGAGCTCTGACCACACACACTCTGCATCCTTATATCTTTGCTGTTATCAGGGATTGTGGGAATATTCCCGGAGGTGGCACGGGGCTGGAAGCCAGAGGCGGCTCCCCCTGCTGGTCTGACATCTGAACCCTGTTTCCTGTTTCACCAAAGCTAATTATATTTATCTTCTGGAGGAGTTTGAGGGTTTAGCTTTATTATATTTACAATAATCATAATTATAAGCAGAGAGCCGATGTGAACGTGAGCCCAGAGCAGATTTAATCATCCAAGGAAAAGATGAATTATCCGCCTCCTTCAGTGCTAAAGTTGAAGCTTAAAGCAGCGATAATTTACACCTTCCAGCTTCGAGGCTCCTTCTTAACTCGCCTCTGATTTATTAAAGCCCAGTCACAGAGTTTGTTTTGACTTTCATCTGCTGAACGAGGACCTGGACGTCCCTGCAGGACAGCGCACGCCTCTTCAGCCTACTGGTCTTGTTGAGCCCACCTGCCAGCCTCTGTTTCTGTTTCGTGGTCATTACCGCTCACACGACAGGTTGGAGGGCTGCCGCCGCCCGGACACTAACGGAGACCTGATTCTGGTGACGCAACAGTCTGCGTTTGTCTCCTTCCTGTTTCAACACCTTTGGGATGAACTGGAAGCCCGACTGAGAGCCAGACCTGATCAGCCAGGTTCAATAAGCCTGAAACCAGGGCACTGGAGGGCCGCGAGGCTCAACTGGACTTGAAAATACTTACAGTCTCTCACTCCTCAGTTCTGAGTGACTGGCAGGAATCCCAGCTATTTAACGGTCGTTAGCACGAGGTGGTTTAGCCCTGACCTCAGGTGGCTTTCACTGAAGAATCCATCACGACCCCACAGAGGTTAAACAGCCGGGTCTCCCTGCCAGACAGGCAGGACTGAAGAATCCAGCTACCTTTGAGTTTAAAGTTATAACTCTGACCTGGATGGTGAGAATCTTCACAGACGATCCTGCTTATTTTCCGTGGCGAGCGGGAGATCCGGCCGCCCGGTGCACGATGGATACGCTGTGGCGAGTCGACCGCTCGTTGTGTTGCTCCAAAGTGCACACAAATGAAAACTAGGCAGTGCGGATCAAATATGAACAAAGACGCTGTCGCCTATTTATCCCTTAAATGACTTCCGAGGCGTACTTTAGGGTGCCGTTTAGCTCCGACAGGTCCAGGTGCGTCCTCGCCGGATTCTTTGTGTGTCCAGCTGACGATGCAGACGGGAATCAATCTGCACCGTTTCCATCACAGCAGCACACGTTTGTTCCTCCACGCCCGTGGGGACTCGATAACGCCTTCCCTCGCCCCTAACCCTACCCTGAACCCTCACCACTGCACGCCTGTCATTAAAACATACCTCG